CAAGCACATACCATGGTACAGATGATTGTCACCAACAGTTTTAGACCACACCCCTCAGCACATGCCTATGCAAATATTGGAACCAATAAAGCAGTTACAGTAAGAGCTGCAGAGACCAGAAAACTTACACCTTGAACTTTATGTAAGACTGGTCTAATTCTGGTGGAGAACCTACAGATGAGGCACCTAGATTAAATGTGCTAATGGCAATATTCCTATAATATTACCTGGAATTCATATTGGTCAAGCTATTTACTACCTTAAAAACCTCTATCCTACAATATTAGAAGAGAGACACTAAGTAGAATTTGGTACTCTTGACCAGGGTAATGAACCAGTTAAAATTTTCTATGTAAAAGTAAGAAGATATGGTAAGTTACTAAATTTTGGTGATGAAGTAAATAACCATCAATTATTTAGGGAATTATCACCAGACAACCAGCTTAAAGTGTAATGAATTAATGCTGAGAAATCTTTATCAAAGTTAGTTAAAACTCTGGAGAAGGTTGAGAAGCACAAATCTGAAATGAAATTCAGCTTATTAAAAAGAACTGGATCTATTGACTATCAAGCCTAAATACAGCCTACATAAACCAATTCCTCCCAGGTTTTCACAGGAAGATGTAAATAGAATGATTAAGGATGCTATTTAAAAAGTTACACAAAATCAGATTCAGCAATGCTCCAGAAAAATTCATGTTAATCTTCCTTCTGGTCTCCCAGACACTTATAAAATTAAAAAGAACTTTGTTTTTAAAAAAAGGAAAGCTAATTAGTTTCTTTCTGATTTCGATTGTAAATTGGTTACATAAAATTTACAGTGAATCCTCCATAAGTGCACCCCTTTGGGAATGGATGAGAGTGTACATTTATGGAGGGATGCATTTATTAGAGGGGAATAATTTTATTGGTTGCACATGATACTAATAAAATATTTTTTATTATAGTGCAGGACCATATATAACAGTTAATTATTATCAAATGACTTTAAAAGCTTATAACTCCTTCCTTATTAAAAAAGAAAAAGAAAAAAAAAAAACTGATAGAATTAAAGCTAAAGACCTAAGCTACATTTCCATCTATTTATCTTTTCATTTTATTAGAAAAGTTTTGAGTTATAAGGTTTCAAAGTTATGCTATTTCATATAGGTCCATATGTAAATTGTAAAATTTCGGAATGATCTTCCCTTGTAATTTCCTAAAAGGCCGATGATCGACTTAAAATTTTTTCGTGATACAGAAATCTTTCCAATAAAAGAAATCTGATAATTTAATTAATTTTTTATTTTATTTTCCATTACTCTTACTACACATAAATATTTAAAAAAAATTCTTGATCTTTATCCTTTGTTAATCCTTATTTTTTTTGATTTCACCTATAAATCTCACCATTTGCATTTGTGAAGGAAGAAACAAAGAGAGGTGAACCTATTAAAAATATTGCTTTGAGTTAGTTCATTTATATATTTTTGCAATTTATTTCTTTGTATATTAATATGTTTTTTAGATTAACAAAAATAATTGGAACGTTTGAAAGAAAATTAAGAATGATCAATTATATAAATGACAAGTTAATTGATTCATTACTATTGTATCCTTTTTTAACATTAATGGTCACAAAGAAATCTTTATACATATGTTTAAGCTTTAATCAAATTTTATTATGTAACTCACCAGATATAATGAAAATAATGTTACGTTAGAAGAAATAGTTGAAAACTTTGAAATGTCTGGTATGACAGTTTTGTATATTTCTATATTTTTAATAAAAAATGGTTTAATTATTCACTAATTAATTTTTAAAATAGAAGATTATTTAAAAGATCATATAAATATGATCATTCAAGTAATTCCTGGATGGATTTGGTTCACATGGGATGGAAATGGAGCAAAAACCAGAGTCAAAATTGATAATAAAAATTACAAGCCTGAAGAAATCTACTTTTCAATAAATAAAAAAAAGGAGGACATCAAGTGGTGGCATCAACAGTCAATCAATTTAGATTATTATTCATCAAAATTATTCATTGAGTTGGAAAAAATGAGTGAATTTTTATAATTTGGAAATTCTATTGATATAATTAAATATATTATTTGCAAAATTGAATAAATTTTTATTTTTTTAAATTGTAATTTCATTAATATTAAGATTTCTTGTGAGAAGTCATTTTTAGTTTAAAATCTTTGATTTTAAATGTAAAAGATTATTTTAGTATTCTTTCATATTAGCAATATAACAAATAATAAAACCAAAACATTAATCTTATAATTTTTTCAACAATTCTTAATGCTAATTTGGTGCAGATAAATAATTTTATTAGTTATGATTTTCCTCTCTTGCTGGTAAATTTCATAGGTAATCCTTTCTTTTCTTAGGTAAGCTTCCAGTGTTTGAGTGTCATTTATTTTGAAAATGTAAGGAGCAATTTTTTCACCTTGTTCCTTTTTTAAAATACTTCTAATGGTGCTGTAATTCTTGGGTTCCATGGTAGACCTAATGTAAATTAACTTCATATTAACTATTTTTATATAGGGGCAATTCTATATATCACTTAACAAATGGGGCATTATAAACTAATTGTGATGATAATAACTAAATTTTGATCCCTGAAATTTTTGGTAATACCAATGTTCACTTTGTCTGGTTTTGTTACAGTATGCCCCATATATGTAATCTCCTCCTCATATTAATATGTAATCATTGGAACAATAAATATCTTAATTATTTTATTATTATTAATTGCTATTACCCAAATTTTCATATAAATAATAACCTCAGCAAAATTTTTCCCAAATTAGGAATGTTAACTCAATTATATGGAGTCTTTCCTTGTACGATCCATTCATCCATAGACGGATTAGTTTTTACACGTTTTTACACGTTGAAAAATGATCAACAGACGCACATAATATCGAACCCCCCATTGGACGACGCAACTTATTTATTTAAACCTAATACCAATATTAATAATATACTAAGAATATAAAACAACATCGACTATTTTCTATATTAATAAAAAAAATCCCCATTCAACAAGAAGAGCATGATTTTTGATATACCTTGTGACCGAGTTCACAATAAGAAAACGCATATTATTTTTCTTCTATTTTTCGTTTTCTTTTGAGTTTTCGGAAGCTCCCCATAATACTTTTTGTTAATTTTTTCCCTTGATAAATTTCCGATAAGTCTTACTTTATCTAAATATTCTTTAATGGCTTTAGTATCATTTATTTTGAACATTCTAAACTCAAGCGTGAATACCGTATTTCGGGTCAACGACACAACATGAGAGAGACCATATTTGAATCTTTATGAGAGACAGGCGATATATTCGTCTTTGGATCTGATAAAAATGTCATTTTTCTTCTTGAATAGCGGCATTGACATCTTTCCGGTCAATGGAAACGTCAAGTTGATATCCCCTCTCCAAGGAGATTGATTTAAGAAAAAACGCGAGCAACTTGATTAATGACAATTATCCAAACGGCCATGTATCCGGGAATCGAATCAATGGTTCCGTGATCACCATTAATGGTCTCTCATAGATGGTGGGTGCTGAATCTTTTTATTAAAAGTCATAAAGTCACAATTTACTTTTCACAATTTATGAAGTTTTTATTTGTATTCAAGAATAAATCAATCTAAACCAAAATTAATGATATTAAATTTGGCGTTTATGAGGATCAGCCGATTCAATGTAAAGAAAGAGGTATTGTTAAAAAAATTAGGTTTTACTCCTTTAAATATACTTGTTTAAATTTATAAATCATTACTAGCTTGTTGTTAATATATAGTATTAATAATATTACAGACTTGTGGATTATGTCAATTCCAGCTAATCAAGCATTAGCTCCTCAAAATACTCTATATTTGGAGTTTCACCAGAGATTTAAAGAGGTATAGTCTTGAAGTCTATTTTTAATCATATTTATTCCACATGATTTTAATCTTACAATGGCCATTTCTGAAGACCTGCATATTTTTAAACAATACTCCTTTATATTAAAAAATTGGCATTGATTCAAATACTGATGGTAGACCATTCTGTTGATTTAATAATAGCGGTAGATGATCCTGATAAACAAATTTATCGGTTAAAAAAGTAAGAGCTTCATAGATAAAATTTTCATTTGATCCTTCAACTTGTAAATCAATAATTCATCCGAATTCTGTCTACTTTACAAAACCTTTTCGCAACCAGCAAATCGAAATAATGGTAATTATTATAATCATCTAGTCAATCATGGATTGGATTTGATGAATTATCCAATTAAAGAAAAAAAATTTTTTTTTTGAATAAGTTTTCTTGCTTAACTTCATTGGTGACAAATATATATATATATATATATACATATATACACACACATACACATACAGCTTACTAATTTAGATTTAATGGGGACATAAAAATTTTGTAAAAATCCGGAATTAAAATGCAGGAAAATGTAACGACAATAATAATAAATTCATTCTGATAAATCCTTTCTATATAACTCCCATTTACATTCCTAGAAAAGGTAGATCTTAACAAACTTCCATCAAAATTCTCTAACACCTTGTACACAAATTCTGTTATACCCTCTTGTTCAACTTGAGATAATGATGGCAGAAGACATGGAGATGGATGGATAAAATTTTTGATGTATTCTTTTCGGTAAAACTGTTCAACAATAGGACAACTAAAAAATAGATTTAATCCATCTTCATTAAACACCCCAACTTTCAAAAGAGAACTTAAGAAGTTACTATTAATAGCATTTAAAGGCACATAACCCTTTTGGATAACTTCCTTTAAAATATTCTGTAATTCACTTAAATTTATTCCTGTAAGCTCTTTCAAGATTGATATACCTGCAAATGCTCTGGAATTTTCCAATTGTTTTGTAAGTTGTCCATTGAAAATAAATTGAGATAGTTGCAATTCAATATCCCCTACCCAATTTTTGGGAGCCTTTGTAAGTTCATTTAATGCCAAACGACATAAACCTATGTGTCCTTGTGTTGCACTCCATACTGCATCTATAAATGTCTGTGACAATGCCAAATCCTTGTGGTCACCCTTTGAATCCTTTCTAAATTCATTAACTAACTCTATATATTCACTATAGTCCAAAACAATATCCTTAAAGTAGTACTTAACAGTGAAGCAACTTGGAGAAGATATATTACCCAATCTGATTGCTTGGACACCATATGTAGATGTTGCAAGAAGTCCACAAAGATTGTTATTTTGGAAGCCTGATTGAACTGACTGAGCTTTGAACATTGACCAAAATTCCTTGAAATTGTTTAAGAAAAAAAATCAGACATAAAGAAAGAAAAAAATTACTTAATTCATACCTCTACATGGAATATATTATGAGCATCATCAATTATTAATAGAGTTTCTGAATTTGCAATTATATCTGTCCATTCCATTGACACCATCTTTTTAAAATATGATGAAAAAATATTGATTTCTTTCTCTATATGAGATCCAGAGTTCAACTTTGTATTTTTATATACAACATATCCAGCAAATGAGATAGCAACAACTTTAAGATTTTTCTCAGTAGCAATCAAACTCACTAATTGTGCTAATGCTGTTTTTCCTGAAAATTATGATGATGTTATCAGAACTTTACCATGACAATGAAGTTCATTCAGTATCTTTTCTGTTAGATGTTTTTGAAAGACACGTTGTGTTTTTGGTAATCCTTCAGTGTCATCTGATCCAAAAAATGAAATAATGTCCTCTATATCAAAAGTAATAAAAAAAAACACAAGAATCACAAAACAAACCAAAAATAATTTAGGAATTTGTTAAGTAGTAAAATATAAGTATGTTGATTGATTAAGAGACATTAATATGATTTACCTTTTTTACCTGTTCAAAGTGAGAAAGCAACATGACAAAAAAAGTCATTAATAAAATAAACAAAATAAAATAAAAACAAAAAAGATGCATTATATACACTTCCAATTAGAGGTGATAAAAGGACTTTTTTAAAAAAATGTAATATAATTTCTTGAAAAAGAAACTTGAAACTTACCTTATGGAAGTAAATCCATACAGAATAAATAATTAGGTAGGTATATTTTTCATTTTATAAAAAGAAAAAACAGAAGTCAGTCAATGTTGTATACAATATACCAAATTATCATACAAGCAAATAAACAAATAAAACGAAATGGAATGAACGAAAAATAATTTTTTTTTTTTTACTCAATTTGTTTCATTACCTTCCCCTCCACCGAACTTCCTCAATGCCTCCCCCCCCT